CACAAACTCTCAACTCTCTGGTCATCCAGAAGGCGAAAGAAAGCATCTCAGAGCAGCTCTGTCACCAGTTGCCTGCTCATGGATGAAACACAGCGTTGGACTGGCTTTGTAGGAAAGGGCAGAGACAGTATATATGGCAGTGTTGTTTCAGAAACTGAATTTGGTGTTTCTGCGCTATTGGAGATAGGTCCTGTTCTAAATGAAACACAGAGTCCAGTCCCAATACCAGGTGTGCTCCTTGCTGTCATTCATGCCACAGCAATCCCAACAGTACAGTAACTCTGCATGTGTGTGTCTGTTCAAAGTTATATTCTGACCTTACTATCTGGTTTTAATATTATGCTGTCCTGCCTGCTGAATACAATTCAGAGTGTAAACTACTCTGAGGAAAGAATTGCATTTTCTTCTGTGCTTTAGATAGGCCTAAAAGTGCTGTTGGCATGCAGCAAATTATAGCAATAATAATAAATAGTAGTGTTTTGCTGTTGCCTTGGGCTGTAGCACAGTGTTTGTAATGATGCTAGATTAGAATTACAGAGACTTCTTTATTTAGCAGTGACCATGTCTTCACGGCTGCTTTGGTGCTTAGCACATGTTAAACAGAGTAAAAGACTTCAAGCTTTTGACTGAGATGTCAGCTACATAAAACTTGGGAAACAGATAAAATTCACTTGAGGGAAAGATAGGAATCCAAATCTAGACCCAGAAATGATCTTTCAGTGTACATAAAATACTCACATTGTAATATCATATAAACAACACCTAAGTTAAATAAACGACACAGTGGGAACTTGATTATTCTTTAATAAGATCCTAGTAACCAAAATAAACTCTGTCAAAAATATGCCTTTTTTGCTTTAATGGTTAGCTTTCCCCACACAGGGGTTATATTTTTCCTGTCACTACACAATTCATTTGAACTGGTACATGAAAAATGTCTGAGCAACATTTCTTCTTTTTTCTATCAAAGTTTTCTGCATCTGAGTGCTATGTCAAAATATGATCTCCAAGGTCTCGAGACTCTTTTTCGTTGTCAGGAGTTGGAAATCTTGTCTAATAGTTACTTAAGACGGCTGTCCTTCATCTTTTCTCCTGCTTGCACTTAGCACCCACAAAGACTGTGACACCCACAACAGCTGTGTATGTATAAAGACTGAAACTCCTGTGAAATCGATGTTTCTGCAGCTCCATTGCCACCCATCTTGCTGCAATGGTGACTGTTGATATAAAAACGTATAAACACTACCAGTTCAAACAACAAGATTAAAATCTGGTTTCTAAAAGGTCACTAGAGGAACAGAAATTAGAATTTATCATCAGCCATTGCTATTTTGTGGCTCAAGTTCCCTGCATCAGCAATGAAAGTTGTATGGGACCACCTATTTAAAATTACTGAGATGTCTAGCTTCCACTGATGTCAAGTATGATTCTTGTTTCTGTCTGACTTTTGGTTGATCTCAGAAAATGAGTATTATGCACAGCTCCTATTTAGGCAACGAAATGAAGTGATCTAGGTCCTAATGGCAGTTGCAGTGGATACAGTATATTGGGAAATCTGGCCTCTGTGTTTATGTATCTGAATGAGAACTAAGCTCTGCTGAAAAATCTGGTAATGTCTAAGAGACGCAGATGGTGGGAAGGAACCTGGTGTCTAAGTTGAAGCACAGCTGATAAAATTGGCCCTTAATGTTCAAATGAAGTAGCAAATTACAATTAAAAAAAATGCTATTTTCAGCATAAATGCCTTCATTTTTATATGACTTTAGAAGAAAATAAAAAAAAATGGCAAAAACAACATCAAGAAAACACTCCCTGGAAACAAGACTGAAAAAAATAAGCATTTCCAGTGAAAAGATTTTGGTATGGACCATTGATCTACTAACCAGGACTGTGCTCTACAGCACTCTTTGACAAGCTTGTGGTAAGGAGCTGCACCACTCCATCCTTCATTTCGTTTCTGGTCTTTCCTCCAACTCGCTATTTCCTCTTTCAGGACCAAGCAATGATGAAGACCATGTCTGGTGGAAACTGCACCCTCAACGTGCCAGCCAAGAACTCATACCGCATGGTGGTGCTGGGAGCCTCCAGGGTGGGGAAAAGCTCCATTGTCTCACGCTTTCTCAATGGCCGGTTTGAGGACCAGTACACTCCCACCATTGAGGATTTTCATCGCAAGGTCTACAACATCCGGGGAGACATGTATCAGCTGGACATTCTGGACACCTCTGGGAATCACCCTTTCCCTGCTATGAGGAGGCTTTCCATCCTAACAGGTGAGAAAGTTGGAGGAAGTTTGAAGATGGGGAACAGTGAGTGAAAGATCATCAGGACAGACATTAGCTTGAAGGTGGTAGCCTGGACATGACTATTTCTTGGGAGGCAGCTAAAGGGACTGTTTGATTTTGTTGCACAATGCACTTGTCTAGAGAGCTATTTCTTGGCTGGGATGTTCCAGGCATGATAGAGAGTGCATTAGCCACAAAGAAGTCCACTGGGTGAAGGTCTGAAATTGAGATTTCCGCTTACCTTCCTCTCCTGCTCCATATATTTTATTGCAGTCACAAATAAATGGCCAAATAAAATCTTGTGGATGTAAAGAGGAGCAAGGGACAAAATAAGCATGTCATTACAAGACACAAGCAGTGAAAAACAAAGCTAAAATGGACAGGAAGGGAACTATAACCAAGACAATCTCGGATTTTTACCCCTAAAATTTCCACCCTGATTCCCTTGATTTGATATTCCAGTAAGAGGATACCTCTACTTTTTCCCTTTCTCCTAAGTCTATCTTTAATCAAATGTGTTAACGGGAAAAGGGGAAAAGGATGGGCTCATTTTGTACATTCTCATTGTCAAGCAGTTCCTTTTGTGAGATAAGATGTATTCTTTAATTGTGAAAGTGACAGTGAAGATAAATTCAGCCACAGCTCACAACAAACGTATTTTCTGGATTTGCTATCTACCCTTCTGGCTAGCCAGTGAAACATGATGTTCACATCTGACAAGGCTAGCACCCACATTCAGTGAGGTCCTAGGGCCAGTTTCTGGGATGCGAATGTGAGCTTTTGTCCCTGAAAGGTCTCTTAGCATGTTCCACATGAATGTCATTCAACAAGCAATGATTTGCATTATTTTATATTTGCAAAAGGAATTGTAAGTCAGGAAATGTCAAAAGGAAATGCCAGGGGATCTGTGTCATTTATGTGTTTCTTTTTTTCCATGCTCTGTTTCTCTTGAGCAAATGAAATGACAGCAGAGCACTTCACAGTGAGAAACCTCTCATTCCTGACTTAGGCATTCAGGATTGACTAGCTGTAGATCTTCAGTTCAGGTGTAGCTTCAGGTATTGTGTAATCAAATGGCCATGGCTGAGTGGCTACTAGCTCTGCACTTTTCTTGGTGTCAGCACAGGCTGTGTTTTACACAGAGATAGAAATGAAATGAAGAAAAAAGAAAAGCAATGCAGCAGAGCTGAGATATGAACATGTTTACAAAAGAGAGTAAAAAGGGCAATAACTTGCAAGTCCAGTGCAACCTAGGAACACAATCAGATATGGCAGAAGTAACATCATAGCCAAAAGTCTTTTCCACAGCACTACAGAAAGGTGTGGGGAGTTGAATTAGAAGAACTGGAATTAAAATACGGCTGAGTGAATAGATTCAAAAAGACTGAACAAAAAATATGGAGAGGAGATGGCAAATAAACCTATTGGTTTTTTTTTTTAAATTAGCTCCTCTGACACAGGCTGTGGCTAACAACCCTTTACAGTATCTTTTTTTAATTGCAGGGGATGTTTTCATCCTGGTATTCAGCCTGGACAACAGAGAATCCTTTGATGAGGTCAAGAGGCTCCAGAAACAGATCCTTGAGGTCAAATCCTGCCTGAAGAACAAGACCAAGGAATCTGCTGACCTCCCCATGGTGATCTGTGGCAACAAAAATGACCACAGTGAAATCTTCCGCAAGGTACGCTCAGATGAAGGCGAGAACCTTGTCTCCAGTGATGAAAACTGTGCTTACTTTGAAGTTTCAGCCAAGAAGAACACTAATGTGGATGAGATGTTCTATGTCCTCTTCAGCATGGCCAAGCTACCTCATGAGATGAGCCCTGCCCTCCACAGGAAAATCTCCATCCAGTATAGTGACACTTTCCAACAGAAATCTTTCCGGATGCGCCGAGTCAAGGACATGGATGCCTATGGCATGATCTCTCCCTTTGCTCGCCGACCAAGCGTCAACAGTGACCTGAAGTATATCAAATCGAAAGTTCTCAGGGAAGGTCAGTCCAGGGAGAGGGAAAAATGCACAATCCAGTGAAGGGGGATTGCAATTCTGTCTGAAGTCATCATCCGCATTCAGTGCCTTAAAGAAAAATGGTCTGTGGAAGCACAGAATGGGCTCACAGGGTTCATAAAGAAAACCCAACATGGAGAAAGGATAACTCTTCCTGTGGATTCTGCTGAGTCACAAGCATAAATAACATCATCCTTCTAATCGACTGTGAAAAATCGTATGCCTGATATACAAGTGCATTTCTCTGTCTTTGTAATGTAGTTCCTCTTCATTCTCCTTTTTGTTTAAAGAATACACACCTGAGGAGTAAAGACATTTCAACCTCATCCTTACAAAGAAAGTAGGTCAAAAATGCACAGAAGGCATTAACAGTTACTCAGCATGCTGCTCTTGCTAAGAGAGAGGAGGTTATGTGTGTGCATGTGTGTATCTCTGTGTGTATGTGTGCATGCATGTGTGGAGCACTCCTGTAAAAAAATGGGATTTGCATTTCAAATGGCAGCAGTCTTAGCTGAGGTTTCCCAGACTGGGAGTGGCCTCTATATGGACACATGACTCTAACTCACTCCTGAGGGGACCTGCATTAAGAAGACCTTGATTTTATGTTTGCTGGGACAGTAATCATTTAACATCAACATTAATGTTGTTTTGTATTATAGATTTTATTTGGGATTTGGTTTTTTTACTGTCTGGGGGTGGGTTCTTAGCAAAATGTGATGGCAAGTGCATTTGATATCAAACAAGCAGTGTCTACTTTTTAGCAGTGAAAGGTGTTTTTCATCTGTAAAACTATATATGTGCATTGATCAAAAGTGAAATTGTTCTGCAAAAAGACAATACATTTGACTGTTTTGCAAGCCTGGTGTGATATTGTTTCTCAAAGCAGCCACACCGACTCTGAATACACAAATGCCACCCTTTGCCTTGCTGGCCACCAGAGCAATGGTTCCTTTCCCTGCCTTTGCCAGCCAAGACTGACAACATTCATATGTAGGCTTAGACTGCTTCAGAGGCAGGATTGGATTTTCCTTCAAAATTAAGAACTGAATGGTTGTAGGGCCAGCTCCATCATATTTCTTCTGTTATCATGCCTCTAGTCATTTTGTTCATAGTTTTCCCTGTTGTCTGATAAAGGTTGCCTTAATGGAAACCTTTGCACTGCAGTAGTCTTTCAGAACAGAAGCTTTCTGCTGGCTGTCCAAACAGAGCTGAACTGGCTGGCCAGATAAATCTGGGGCCATCTATTCACTTCTTCCCTTTCACAGCCCAGTCCAGGCTTTCTTGTCTTCAGCTCTCTCCCTGTTCGGCTTCTGGCTTTGTTGTTCGATGTGCTCCTGTATGCCCTCAAAGTTCAATATATTCTCTCAGATGTGAGCTTGCCACTCTTGCTGACTGGAATGAGATGTGTGCACACGTAACTGTGGGCAAAACATGGCCCCAAGACTACACAACAGTAGAGTATATACTTTATACCTCAGGATGACCTTCAGATATTTTATCCCTCACTCACCCTCAAATCCTGTCCTTGGCTGTATCTGCCTTGCTGTGTCTTGGGCAGAGCTGTGGGCTAGTTCATGCTATAATTTGACAGGAAAGCAAGAATGATGGTTGCCCATAAAAATTAGCCTCCAGGACTCAAAAACCTATACTCATTTATCAGCTCCACCCTTCATTGGTCCTGTATATTGACTGGTAAAATACACTGTTCTTTTATTCCTGTTGCCAGGGCAGCACCTTTCAGACCACATCCCCCTCGCTACCTATAAATATGTACGTGGTTTATGAATAAATCTGTTTTATTTATTAGCTGCGTCCTGGTCCTTTTTACTTTCTCCTAGAACAATGAGGAAGGTCCTGGTTTTTTGTTGTACAGGTGCAGCTAGGCAAGTGAGTTGTGGGTTGAGAGCCCTGATGAGATCTCCAGTGAGTTCTGGAAGAGTCTTTTGTGTCCTCCAGACACCAGGGGCTACACATTTGTCTGTTTGGAACAGAACTGTGTCTGCATCTACATGTCTCTCTCTCTCTCTCTCTCTCTGAACATTAACTTATATATACAGATATCCTCACAAGCAGAAGCAGACACTGTTCCCCATGCTGCCTCCAACACGAGAGAACAACAACTCTGTCCTTCATGCACAGAGCTGGCATGCTCATCCCTGGTGTGATTTAATGTGGTCTCTGCAGAGACATCACTGTTGCTCTCAGCAGTCTCTCCATCTTACCATCTGTACCTCTCAACTGTATCTCGACTGTATGACTCTTGGTTCCCCTGAGCACATGCCCGCCTCTCTACAGACTCTCCACCCAAGTGCATGACTGCTAAACGTACCAGTGATCAGGCTCTGTGACTCACGTGCCACAGGGACAAGGGGAGGTTGAAGACGGAGTGAGAAGGGCATGAGCACTGGCCATTGGTTGGGTTAAGGGGCTCCAGGAAGGTAAGGAGAACTCTTTGCACTACAGACCACGTGCTGCCTTACTGAGCCTATGTCTGCTCTCTTTGGCCTGCTGGATAAAGCCGATTTTTTTAAAGAGCCTTTATAATCATCAACTCTCTGCCTTTGTCTTACAACACTGACCTTACAGTTATTTTCCCTACTGTCCTTCCATCTCCACAAAGATACCAGTGCTCCTCACCCTTCCATGTCCTCTCATTCCTGCCTTTTCCACCATGAATATGAAGCCACAGGGTATGGAAAAACAATGTTACAGTGACAACAAGGGCACAAGAGTAGGGGAAACTGAAGACCAAGAAGCAGGTGCTCACATAGATACGCTGGATCCCATGGGAAGGCCAGTGAGCCCCAGCTTCACAGTCCAGCTTGGCCTGCCAATGCTCAGGGTGAGAAGCATCTGAGAAACTGGCTGGCAATGAAGGTGAAGCAGCATTATAGTCACCCACAGAAATAAATGGCAATAAGCGGGTAATCCTATTAAAGTAATCCTAGTCTTCTCTCTGCATTTTGTTACTGATGGCAATTGCTTTTGAAGTTAGATTATCATGCTCCTGAGGACTTTTTTTTTTTGCTTTTATTATATCATTACAGTCATTCTATTAATATTCATGTGTTACTTGGGCTCTAGAAGTGCTTACAGCCCCTAAACCAGACAGTATGTGTATCAGTTGTTTATTCACAGTTAGCAGCCATTCTGTTCTGTGAAAAGGGCTGGGACTAGCAGAGAGCAAGGCTGCCTGTATGCACAGGGGGCATAAGGTAAGGCAGGAAGAGGAAAGGGGACTTTTTTTCTTCCCTGCTAACCACTGAATGTGTCTGTCTGTAAGACAGAGCAGGGAAGGGCTTAATAGGAAACTATTCCGTGTGTGCAGAAATTGCAAGACCCTGAAAGGAGCAAAGAGGAGACTTACACCCAGGCCTTGGAGGCAATGGAAAGAGAAACTATTTTTTTTTCCCCACTTTGGGATTCAAGGGACCTGCACAGAACTTACTGTAACCCAAGAAGTCATGAAAATGCACCGGACTAAAGGCAAGTCTAGAGGAGGGGATCCATCTGTCAAAGATGCTGTGAGCAGGTGTACCCTTAACTTGGTCTTACCTGGCATAATTAAGATGTTTTATTCCAATACCTACCTTGTTCTATGTTGCAGTATATAAAAACTATCATTAGTGACACAAAGACTCGCTGATGTTTTTCATTTACTTACTTCTAGGACAACGAGCAGGGACACATACCTGACTTAGGATCAGTCACAGGTCTGAAACAAGACAGGGCTGAGATTTATTTTGTACATTGCTCTACACAGCAAGAAAGTCCTTGTCCTGAAGAAATTACAAGTCAACACATTATAGGACCTATTATAAATAATAACAAAAATCTAATTAAGCCACAGGGTCAGTACAAATCAGGAAGGAAATAGTGGTCATGGTGAATTAAGTAAAAAATAAATAGAGGGTGGGAAGGGCAGAGCAAAAGCCTGTTTTGACATCCCGAGTACTAAATTAGGCTTCTGTTCTGAAGGATCCCCAGGAGGACTGCTGTCACCAGGCCAGGCTGATGCTAGAGAGAGGCTTTCGTGATACAGCCTCACAAAGAGCGTTGTCTCCTTGAGAACCCAGGGTGCAATAGGTCTGATTGTCTGGGATGCCGAAGGGCTTGTTATTATCACAAAGGCAAGAAGGAAATGGTGAGATAATTTTTAAAAGGGCAGCAGAAGACAAAATGATCTCAGAAGGGGGCTTACACAGGTAGAATGGCAAAAGGAGGTTGGGTGAGTAAAGAGAGAAGATAGCTAGCCCTTATTTCATCTTTCTCTACACACAAGTCAAATCTGAAGACATTTTATTTAGCTTTTTTATCCTTCTCTAAATGTTAACTGCCACTTACTGCTGTGTAGGATCTACCTCCCACCTCTCCTCACACCTTCTCCTGCCTTAGATTTACCCCTCTGTCATGTACCATATTGTGGGCTGCCTTGCTAGCCCTGTCCCGGTTCTGGGCTAGGGTAGAAGGTTACAGGCAGAGGTGTTTTTGAAGTGATGATTATTTGATTTGATTTGAAATCACCACTACTCTTAGGGGTTTCATTAGCATTATTGTTTCTTTAAAATTACATGGTGGCAGGCTCAGATTAAAGGATCTCCTCGGAAAAATATATAAATTATGATATAATGTACATTTTCTCCACTGGTTTCTATAGCAACAGCCTTTTCTCTGCACTCAGAAAGAGCAGAGAATTTGCTGGGGGAGATGCATAGCAGTGGCTCTGCCCTAGATCTTTCACCTCCAAGTCCTCATGGGAGGTTGTCCTCCCTTCGGCTTCTGTTATGTGGAGAAACAAAGACCACCAGCCAGACCCACCTCATAGACCACTCAATATGTCTGGTAAAGCTGTGGAATGGATACGCTACCATAGATAAGAAAGTAATTTCCATGATGTGAGTGTAAACTGGCTCATTGCTCCTCCCACAGTACCTGACACGGGGAATACACATTGCAAACTGCTATAAACCCAAGTTCTGTACGCAGGTTGGTTAGAGATAGCTATGAGACTTCCCAGCTTCTGTGTTCCCTTTGTCTTTACAGATCGCCATCTGGTACAGTCAGAGCCTGAGACTTCCCAGAGAAACATTTCCTTTTGCTCTCAGGACAACATCCGCCAAAGACCTTTCCTTGCCCCTACCATCACTGGCCATCCATAACATGCAGAACCGCCCTAAGTCCCAGGCATCATGTTCCTAGAAAGTTATTGACAGTTTGGAATGAGGCCAAGAACTAGCAAGGAAAAACATTATATGAAACATTATATGAGCCTAGAGGGATTGACTTGTGTAAGCCTTAAGAAAACTCTGAAAGGGATAATTCTGTGCCATGTAGGTAAACAAAGTCTGAGAGAGGCTCTCTGAAAAGCCCTAGATGTGTTTGAAAGGTGGAGTTGACAACTGAGACAGCACTTTCTTTAGAGTTGGACAGTGGGGTATCTCAGTGGGAGCAAGAGCATTAAGCAGGAAATCATAGGCAAAAGAGCAGGGCAGACTTTAGGGCAGCGGAAAACTTAGGAAAACACTGGGAAAAACACTGAAATCTACACAGCGAATGGAGATAACTTGGTGCTGGCAGTGGGCTAGACTGGCTGAGCCATAGGTTATTTTGATCCCCCACACTTGTTCCTGATGGAGCCTGATCCTAAGTCTGCTTCAAAGAAATTTCCTCAGACCGCCTGTCCTCACTGCATGCCCCAACACCCCAAGTGGAGGGTTGGTAGTTCACAGGTCCCCTCCCGTCAGACCACTAACAATAGAGACAGGACGTCTTACGTCAAACTTTGCTTTTTAGAGCACTTCCACAAAGATCCATGGACTGTTTGCAGCAAGCAGCTCCTCTGGTGAGCT